ACTTGATGGAAGTTCCTTCAAATTACCAAAAGAATGGATCGCATTGCTATAGATAATCTTTATCTCATTTATTAACACATATATAATCTTTTTATATTTACTGATTTCTGTCCAGGTAAAAACACACTTGTTGTTCCAGAAATTGTCAAAGAGGTTATCGTATATTTCTGATCCAGCAAGACTAATGCAGATCAAAACTTTCGAGAGTACTTTTTCCTGATGATGGAGGACTGCGCAAAAGGGTAATCTTGCTATCTACCATAAACTCAGTGATCCGCTTCAACCTTTTAGGTGTTATAACTGTAAGGCCATCACGACCTTCTTCTAATTCTTCAGGGATCTTAAATATCAAAAAAATATAAAATACATAAAATAAAAAGTGAATTTTAAAAAACAAATCAAGATTACAAGCAGTATATATTACACAAATGTTTGTTGCCTTCTCTTTAAGCCTCTGCTTTCCTTGTCTGAACCTTCCAGTTTTCTTTGTCTTGATCGAATAAAAGAATAAGATTACTGCAAATTTCTTTTTTTGAGAGCTAAAACGTTGATAGACACTTCCCGTTATGGCCGGTGGTTGTAATGATATGAATATATAAATATAAAGATATGAAACAAGGTTGTATATTTAATTAAAAAATGAATTAGTAAATGACCAGGGAAAGAGAGTTTAAGTTGTAAGCAGTATATCAAATGTTCACTCAAATTGATAAATAAATAAACGAAATGGAATGAGTGAAAAAAATTTTTGACTATCATATTCATTATTTATAGCATGATATCTTTTCCTGATTGAGCAGGTAAACGATCCTTTACTTTTCTAAATTGATTTTCAAAATTAGTTTTGATATCCTCAAAAAACTGCACTTCTACACTCCCCACCATAAATATCCGAACCACCTGAGTTGTGTAACGTCAAATGAAAATAGTCCTCACTAAAAAAGCAACGTTATCTTAAATAAAACCTTTCTTACTTTACTAAGTAGATTTGTACTTGATATCAAAATCTCCAAATTACAAAAGCTTCGAAAAGTTTGGTGTGTTATTAATGGAAGCATTTAACAAATAGTCCAAAAGCAAATTTTCAATCGGAATCTTTACATGTAATAAAAGGTCAAATTTCTTTGTTGTAATGTATATTATTTCATTAATAAAACGTGCTCAAC